GAGAAAAAAAAGACTTCATTCATTTCGGCTTTGTACAAAAATTTGTTACAGAGAAAAATTACCTGAATGTTAAACAATGCATTCTAAACAGGCTAACAACTTACAAAGATATGCAAATAATACTTGAGAGGTAGGGATTTAACAAAAACGAATACAACTTACGAAAAGGCTATGCTTCTATGAGACCGAGCTGAGAAACTGTAAAAGAATCTTATCAAGGAAAAATTTGTTTCTTTGACATGATAAAGCACCTTAATACAGGCAAGGCGGCATAAACAAATCAGGCCATGGCACACCTATCTCGACTATCATGTATCTAATAATATCCTCATAACTTTTCGGAAATTCTGGTGCATGTGATAATTGTGGTATTGGAGAGATCGGAATGGGGCAATACAGTCTACATCTTCATTATCAATTTTGTTGTGCTATCATTGAGACAAAGCGACTAGCAAGGAATCATATGGTTTTGACCAAAGTTTTTGTAAAGAGAGTTCTTTACTAGCCGCAATATAATGGGCAAGCCTGCCGAACCGAGATGCGAGCAAAACGAAGGAAGAAATTCATTTGAGATATTTGAAGGCAGGATTAACATGAAAACATTGAACTGGAAGAAAGATCAGATTGAGGTTATCTTGAATTCACCAAATGATAATTGCACGGCACCTGGTGCATAGCTGATACTAAATGCTTCGAATAAATCGCAAGTATATATAGGTCCTGCCATAAGTATTAGTCGGAATCAGAGCGATCGTAAGAACGCCTCCGTTTTCTTTCCCTTCTAGGTTTCGGAGCTGGTGCAGGTTTGGTCTGAAAAAGAAGCTGAGTTTTTCTCGTCTGTCCCAAAAAAGATTAAGATACCTTTGCAGGTGGTGGAGCATTGATGAACTTTGATCCACCAGCACGCTGCGGTGGAGCGGATAACTTCGTCACAGGAGCTGAATCTGAGCCACTTGCACGATGCGATGAAGCAGATGATCTTCCCACAGGAGTGAGATTTGAGCCGCTAGCACGTTGCGAAGGAGCAGCTGGTTTCGTTACAGGGGTCGAATCCTGTCTATTCGAAGCGGTGCTAGGAGTGCGTGATCGCATACCGTTCAATGGCGAAGGCAACTGTGGCGGAGGTGGAACGCCCATGGGCTGCGGAGTTGGAACGCCCATGGGCTGCGGAGGTGGAACGCCCATGGGCTGCGCTACAACTGACGATAATTGAGATCAGTATGTCAATCGACAGTGATATGGCGGTAGTGAAATT